CCATGTCTATAAGCAGAAAATGATAGTTGCATATTCAAAAAATAAGAACTTAAATGATAATATTGTTCATAGTAAACTAAAAACAGTCAGCACATAACAGATACTATACTTATTTTTTCTAATTTCAGATCAGAATAAGAACAGAAGAAAACCCAATATCAAGACCCTTAATCCTAATTTCTAAATAATGTGTCTGCTCCACCCTAGGCCTGTACATTTGGGAGAATCAAACCCTCCCTTCCCCGAAATCTAAAAACGACTTTATGACGTTATTATAATCGCGTTTCTATGCCATCTCTATCGCGACGTCAATTGTTTCATTTGGCAACGTTAAAGAGACGTTAAAGATGGCTTATCCCCGAAGAAAGAGGAATTATAGGAAATATCGAAGATTTTCCGCACGGCGGAGTCGATACGGGCGCATCGCTAATCGATCATCATCCCGCCGACCCCGTAGACGTTTTAGAAGAAGAGGGAACTTTTTGAGGAGGATTTACAAGCAAGTAGTTCATTCAGAACATAAAACTCAGCATAATTTTAATACAGCTGGAACTACATATACTTCTAATCTTTGTTGGAGTTTTGCTACGTTTATTACCGGAAATATTAAGACTTAAATTCATTCATATCTTAGTATGTTTGATGAAGTTAAAATACGCCATGTAACTTTAGTTTATTGGTTGAGGAACAACGGCACATCATCTCTTACTTATGTGCAACCAAGGATTACTCGTACCTATGATCCTGATTCGAATGGTCGTACCATGACAGTGGATAACCAAAATGATTGTCCAAATACGAAGGAAAACTTAATACATTTTGGAAGGAAGTATAAAACTAGAGTCACTCGTGGCACTGAGTGGGACTTTGCAAATGTAGCACTTTTTGGGGGAATGGTACGTTATATACGAACCTTCAAATGCGGATCCAAACATGTTTGGATCGCTTTGCAAAGTGGGCAAATGACTAGGGATTCAGAATATCCAAAGCCAAAACGGTAGGAATGTTGGTCTGTAAAGACCCCCAGGTGACCGACATGCGACTAGTATTGGACGGCGAAAGTATTCAATTCGTTAGTGAAACCAAGCTACCTGGTGTAACCTTCGATAGAAAACTCTCATGGGAACCTCACATTAAAAACATCACAAACAGATGAATAAAAGGTACCCGATCCAGGAACATCTAACATGTGAACATTCGAATGTAATATATTTATTTTCATGCAAGAAATGTCCCAAACAATATGTAGGAGAAACTAAGAATAATTTACGAACTCGCTTTAATGCTCATAGGTCAGACATCAAATTAAAGAAAGACAAGCCTGTTTCTAATCATTTCAACCTCGACGACCATTCAATAGACGATCTCACCCTAATCCCAATTGTGCATATTCAAAAAATAAGAACTTAAATGATAATATTGTTCATAGTAAACTAAAAACAATGAGTACATAACAGATACTATACTTATTTTTTCTAATTTCAGATCAGAATAAGAACAGAAGAAAACCCAATATCAAGACCCTTAATCGTAATTTCTAAATAAAGTGTCTGCTCCACCCTAGGCCTGTACATTTGGGAGAATGAAACCCTCCCTTCCCCGAAATCTAAACGATTTTTACGAAACATAAAAAATTCCACCTTAGCACAGATAGCAGCTAAAAACAGACTTTATGCCGAAGTACCTCCAGAATTAAGAAGTGCTCCATGTTTGTCCAGTAGATGCAAAACATGTCCCTTTATATCAGAAACTCATTATTTTGTAAGCAACTCTACGAATAAAAGGTACCCGATCCAGGAACATATAACATGTGAACATTCGAATGTAATATATTTAATTTCATGCAAGAAATGCCCCAAACAATATGTAGGAGAAACAAAGAATAATTTACGAACTCGCTTTAATGCTCATAGGTCAGACATCAAATTAAAGAAAGACAAGCCTGTTTCTAATCATTTCAACCTCGACGACCATTCAATAGACGATCTCGCCCTAATCCCAATTGAGCGTATAGAAATTGACTTGCCCGAAGATGAAACTACCAAATTCCGTCAATCTAGGGAGGCCCATTGGATTGAGACATTGAATACAGCAAGACCTATAGGACTAAATATTCATCATAATGTAGGCATAGCACCCTTTGTTGTCCCGTTTAATACAACCAGCAATCGAGCAAGCAAGATAGTTCATGCCTACTATAAGAGCCTTCAAGAGAAATTCCCCCATGTCTATAAGCAGAAAATGATAGTTGCATATTCAAAAAATAAGAACTTAAATGATAATATTGTAAACTAAAAACAGTCAGCACATAACAGATACTATACTTATTTTTTCTAATTTCAGATCAGAATAAGAACAGAAGAAAACCCAATATCAAGACCCTTAATCCTAATTTCTAAATAATGTGTCTGCTCAACCCTAGGCCTGTACATTTGGGAGAATCAAACCCTTTCATTTGGCAACGTTAAAGAGACGTTAAAGATGGCTTATCCCCGAAGAAAGAGGAATTATAGGAAATATCGAAGATTTTCCGCACGGCGGAGTCGATACGGGCGCATCGCTAATCGATCATCATCCCGCCGACCCCGTAGACGTTTTAGAAGAAGAGGGAACTTTTTGAGGAGGATTTACAAGCAAGTAGTTCATTCAGAACATAAAACTCAGCATAATTTTAATACAGCTGGAACTACATATACTTCTAATCTTTGTTGGAGTTTTGCTACGTTTATTACCGGAAATATTAAGACTTAAATTCATTCATATCTTAGTATGTTTGATGAAGTTAAAATACGCCATGTAACTTTAGTTTATTGGTTGAGGAACAACGGCACATCATCTCTTACTTATGTGCAACCAAGGATTACTCGTACCTATGATCCTGATTCGAATGGTCGTACCATGACAGTGGATAACCAAAATGATTGTCCAAATACGAAGGAAAACTTAATACATTTTGGAAGGAAGTATAAAACTAGAGTCACTCGTGGCACTGAGTGGGACTTTGCAAATGTAGCACTTTTTGGGGGAATGGTACGTTATATACGAACCTTCAAATGCGGATCCAAACATGTTTGGATCGCTTTGCAAAGTGGGCAAATGACTAGGGATTCAGAATATCCAAAGCCAAAACGGTAGGAATGTTGGTCTGTAAAGACCCCCAGGTGACCGACATGCGACTAGTATTGGACGGCGAAAGTATTCAATTCGTTAGTGAAACCAAGCTACCTGGTGTAACCTTCGATAGAAAACTCTCATGGGAACCTCACATTAAAAACATCACAAACAGATGCCAAATTGTGCTGAACTTAATGAGGAATATATCTGGCAATGAATGGGGCGCCAATGTTGTGACGCTCATGATGATCTATCGTGCGCTTGATCCGGCCCATCTTGGACTACGGTTCACAGACATTCATGACCGCCAGACCAATGCTAACCAAAGTTAGATATCATACAGCACAAAGCCCTCCGACTAGCCACAGGAGCAGGCATCGGCATAAAAACGGAGTCATTACTCCAAGATGTTGGTGAGGTTCCTCTACAAATCCGCAGAGAGGAGTTAGCCCTTAGATACTGGTCAAAGTTGAAACACCTTGGAGAATCATCTCCTACCTACTTCGAGACCGCGAGGTTCAGGCACGCCAAAAAAAACGATAAGCTTCGGACAGTCAGATCGGGATTCCGTTCGGAAGTATGGGCTAGATAGGTTGCCCATAAAGCTTCTTGTATTTTCCCAAGTTGCTCCTTGGACGGTTTCGCCCCCTATTGTCGACACCTCTCTCGCCTCGAGATTGGATAAGAAACAGGACGATCCTTTATCGCTCGAATGATCGCCTTAACTCATATGGATGCAAGGTGGTCTAAAAGCATGCGAACAAATATCAGTGAATGATATTTCTTATGTTGAGAATCAATAAATGGAATTTATATGTGTCGGGTGTTTCAAATTTGAATTAGGGGATCATTACTCATATTCAGCAGCCCTATTCAGATTATGTCAAGTAAGCAATTTAATGTTCTACTCCATTAGAAACATCACATAACTCAGCCATAAGCCTTTGAATTAGGGATCATTACTCATATTCAGCAGCTCTATTCAGATTTTGCAGTAAAGTAGGACGTAAAACTCTATTCATTTCATTCAAAAAAGTTTTTTTTTTTGTATAATTCCAGGCCTCAATGGGTGGTTTCCAGGCCCTATTATACGCTTCTCGTCTTGAAACTCGTGCTATGCCTAACGAATGTCCGACCGTGCCATTACCAGAACTCAGACCCTCCAAGCCATTAGCTATCGATCAACACAGCCAATACTTACTTGAACAGCATGATATGGGCCACATTGGGACACCTATGGTAGCCACGGGTGATGGAAATTGCTTCTTCAATGGTGCTAGTATTGCAACTTACGGCCACGAGAACTTTTCATCGTTGCTTCGAGTACGGACCTGTATCCAGATGTGCCTCAACGAAGAAACGTACCTAAGAAGGTCAGATGCTGCTGATCTTATTTCATATCTCCGGATTACCGCGATGCGTGCATTGCCTCTTCAACTGATGGTTCATATTCGTCGGCATGGCTTTGGCTGATGAACTGAAGACAACAATCACTTCTATCTATCCGCCAGTAAATGATCTACAGGATCATGCGTTCCTTCATCTGAACACCTCCTTCAAACCGAGTCAACCAATACATGGCACTGGGGAGATACTCATCATGTGGACCAACACAGCTATCAACGACAAGGGTTACTGGACACCTAATCATTTTGTGAGCGTCATACCCAACATCTATTCCGTCTGTGATGATTTCAATCCTCAGTTCCACAGCACGTTTGCAAATTGCCAAGACAGCCCAATGCCATCACCTTCCCCTAGTTGTTCTACACATTCAGCAATGTCTTCCTCTCATGCATCATCATTGGAACTCCACATGTCCGTTCCAGACTCCCCAGTTGACAATAGAAGAAGAAATGATTTATTTGACCAGGATAACATCCACACACGGCCAAGGAGGCTTTTCTGCGTATAAAGGAATGCAGGCGTATATTCGAGGAGTGTCCAGCTGGAAATAAATCAAATGCATGGCTCTTAGTGAACAATAAACTTAATGTGGTCCGCTATTCAAAAGGTTTGAAACGCGAGTACTATGATGATTGTAGCATCTGGAACAGTAAGAACAGTCGTACCCATATTCAGGTTTATTCAAGCAATGATTTCAAGTGTATTTTCAAAAGAGGTGACAGCTACTGTACACGACATGTGAAGTCCGGAAAAACTGTTTATTTGCCGGTTCAACCACAGCCACTCGTCATTACAATGCATCGATACCAGACAGTTTTGAAGTCTGACGCTTCTTTCAATAAACACGTCACGTACTTTACATCGACCGATGACACCTATTTAAGTGACATTGCTCTTTTTGAATATGAGGGAATATATAGAGTTAACGAATCAGAAAAGCTGAGAACAAAAACGAAAACATTCCAAAACATCAAAGACGAGATAAAAGTAAAACCATCGAAAAATATATATGTTGATCTAAATATGTTTCCTGAAGAACAGTGATTCCCCTATCATTGGTATGGATAGGGCGTTTAATTTGGAACCTTTCTTTGTTACTTGTTTTGTGTACAAAAACAACAGAGTGTTGAGAAGAGAAACGAATGACCATCCCATATTTATTGGACCTATGCTTTTACACAAGGATGCGACTTATGAATTTTTCTCGCACCTTGCTACCAAAGTTTCAATTGAGGACTTCGAGATCCGATTCGACCAAAGTATCCAGTTTGGAACTGACAACGAGAGAGCGATGACAAAAGCTATTGAACATTCATTCCCAAATGCCACGAGACGACTATGTACAAAACACCTTAAAGATAATATTAAGTTTTATCTTCAAAATAAATTTGGTGTGAATTCAAAACTTCGGAAACAAATAATGGAGCATATTTTCGGTGAATCAGGATTGGTCAATGCTGACGATTCAATAACGTTTGAGCGATTGTCTTTATGTGGCAATTTTGAACAATTCGTTCATTACTTTGAGAAAGTTCTCAAAGAAAGGCTAGACACGTACGTGTTCCAACCACGAAGGGCTAGCAATATAAAGTCTCCAAAGTTGTGGACAAACAACAATGCTGAGTCTATAAATAGAGTTTTTAAATTTGCAATTAATTGGAAACCTAAATCGACACCTGAACTTATAAAGAAACTGTTTGATTGTGTTGATTACCAGTTTATGAACTTAAGAGCCGCTTTTCATAATACAGGGGATTATATGCTTACGACAATTGAGAAAAGATACTTAGTGTCTGAAAATTATTGGAGGGTACAAACAATAGATCAAAAAAAGTCGATATTTTTAACGTTTTTAATAATAAGAAAGAAAAAATCCACCTGAAATATCATTTCGTCATATCAAAATCCTCGCTGGTGAGCTGTAGTGAGAGGAGGGGATCTTCCTCTATGTCATCCAGAAGTGTTGATTCGGTTGGAATACGGAAACAGGCATCGGAAGTTCGATCCCAGTTTTTCCAGAGGTCGGATCGGCAGGAGGTGGTGGTTGACCAGCTGCTTTCCGCTCCCAGTTGGTCGGGAGAGAGGTGTTGATTCCACTCCCAGCGTTGGGAATGGTTCCCCCAATGGGGTGTTGTAGGGTGAAAGCTGAATGTCCGGAGTTTGGACAGTTGAACCTGGTATGGTAGCCGAGGAGAAAGAACAGTCTGGTGACAAAGAACCAAGAGTGTCTGAAATAGCTTCTTGGGGTATGTCTAAAGGTTGGTCCTCTAGATCTTCGGCCCGGTTTCCGGTACAACGGTGTTTTTTTGAGGTATTCTTTCCTCCTAAATTTCTTGCCACATCCCTCGCAGGTGCTGAAGGATGGGAAGTGGACTTCCTTTAGGTGCCTTGTGAGGTGGCATTTCTTCGATAAGGTTTTTTGACAGTGTTGACAAGAAAACATCTTTCTGTTGTTGTCCGTTTAGATGATAATGGTATCTATATCATTGTGACGTAATGACGTCAAGAGAGCGGGACTGCGCCAAAAGAGAGGGAGGGGGTGGGGGGGGGGGGTGTTTGAATGAGGTGTAGGATCGTGGGTACCGGTCCTAAGGGAACAAGGCAAGTGGGTGTGGTGTGCTTTGGGGGAACTGCGTGGGGTGATATAGTGTGTACCAAGGAGGGGGGAGTGAGAGGGTGAGTAGGCTTGTGCGTAATCCGAATTGAGGTACCCAGGGAAAGAGAATGTAGAAAACAAGAAAGGTGGGGGTACCCGAGTTCAGATTTTGTCATTGATTCCGTGAGGTTGGAAAGTTTTCAATCTTATAATCCAGTGAAGTTCATTGGAGCGCCTGAGGGCGGTGGATTGTGACAAATCCGGGTTGGTGTCTAGCTGTTTGATGATCTGGTAGTCGACATTGCGACTAGAATGGCTCGGTTGGTGCAAGTGGGCGAAGACGGTGTGTCTCTTATTGTGTTTGATATCTACAAAATGTTCTTTCAGCCTGATGCGAAATTGTCGAAACATATTGTTTCTGACAGAGGTTGCAGGTGAGGAGGTATATGACATTTCTGCTATTTCTGCGATGTAGTCAGTTTTATTGAGAAGTACAACAGCGGAGCCTTTGTCGGCTCTTTTGATAATGATGTCAGCATTGTTCTTGAGCTTGCCAAGGGCATCTTTCTTGTTTAGAGAGATTGTTCCTTTTGAATTTAATGACTTCTGAGTCTAGAAGTTTGCGCTTAACAACGCGGAAGAAGATTTCCATATTGAGGTTGGCCCCTGAGTTGGGGGTCCAAGTGCTGCGTGGTGCGAATTTCTTCTCTAGGGGGAGTTGAAAAGTGTTGGCAGGGGGCTTGCTTTCGGCAAAGTGATACATGATGCGCATTTTGCGGAAGAGTGTTCTAAGGTCTAAGAGGGTCTTGCTGATGTCTATGCCAGTGGGTGTAGGGCTAAAGGTGAGTCCTTTGTTGAGGAGCGAGGTTTCAGTCGGGCTGAGGGCCAGGTGGGATAGATTGACTACAGACGACTTAGAGTAAGTTTCAGAATTTTTATTGAGAGTTTCATTGCCATTGAAATTGAGATTTTGAACAATTTCTTGGACCATTCGGTGGATGTTGTTACGGTTGGTGTAGATCCGTTGTCGTGGTAAAGATCTGGATTGTGTTCTCTTGCGGTTGGTGTTGTACCTTAGTGTACCCCTGTTGGGTCGGTAGGGCTGGTTAGGTGTATTACTTTGGCCAGTGAAGTATTTTCCTTGGAAGGGGTCATCTTGACGAGCCTCAAGGCTGAGTCGTTCAAAGCGGGGTTGTAATCTGGATTTTCCCATACTGATTTCTCTATCAACGACAGCATTGATTGCCTGCTCTGATTCTTGGAGCTGTTTGGTGTCGCAAATTTCTGCAAGTTTGGTTAAAGCTGTCGGAAGGTTAGCCGTGAGGTTTCGGCGAATAGTTTCCAGGTGTTGGATATGAATTTTGAGGGAGGTTAGGCAAAATTCCTTGGTGGCGCGGGCTTTGGACTCCGCGAGGTTGGTGGGGTATATCGTATTACCAGTGAAGATTCTTGGTTTGAATGAAGGAGGTATTAGGTTTGCTGAGATGCAGGCCTCGAAGAAGTCGGTTTGGACTTGGGTGCGTGCTATTTTGCTTCTGAGGTTTCTGACCCTTTTGTAGAACGGTAAAATATTATCGGGGAGGTCCACCGACATTACTATTGGCAGGCTGGTTGGTAGTGTTGACCCTTTGTCTTTTAGCGGGTGGGACGTCTTCCGCTATCGTAGTTGTAGATTCCGAGGCCAGTATGGAATCGAGACTGCCCGATGGGGTCACGTAAGTAGCCATACCTGAGTCTTTAGGCAGAAGTAAATTAGAGGAGATAAGGTTGGCTTAATCGACCAGTTATCCCGTTATTTTCAGTGACTAGTTTCGTTCCGTTTGAACTCTTCAGACTGATGAATACTCACTCGGCAGGGCCTGCCTTATGTACTGTTCGACCCCGGTAGAAATTCACCGGGGTTGGCGGGGTCACCGGGGTCGCTGGGATTGGTGGGGTTGCAGTGCTCTGACTATGCGGAGTGCCTGTGTGGGTGTACAAAGACAAAAGAGAGATAAAAGTTATGCATTTTATTTAGAAAGGTGATTGAGTCCCACGATGAGAGTGGAATTATCAAAATCCTCGCTGGTGAGCTGTAGTGAGAGGAGGGGATCTTCCCCCCTGTCACCCAGAAGTGTTGGTTCGGTTGGAATACGGAAACGCGCATCGGAAGTTCGATCCCGGTTTTTCCAGAGGTCGGATCGGCAGGAGGTGGTGGTTGACCAGCTTTCCGCTCCCATTTGGTCGGGAGAGAGGTGTTGATTTTGCAGATATCAAACACAGCACAGACACCCCCGTCTAGTCGCAATGTCGACTACCAGATCATCAAACAGCTAGACACCAACCCGGATTTGTCACAATCCACCGCCCTCAGGCGCTCCAATGAACTTCACTGGATTAAAAGATCGAATTTGATTTCTTATCAATTAAATTACAACTTTAATATTTTTGGAAGTTTAATTATTTCATGTAAAATACATGTATAGGCTAT